AAAAATAAAAAAAATTAAAATGTATAAATAGATACAAGTGTCATAATTTTTATAAAGTTAAATTAAATTTTAAAATCAACTTTTTAAGATGTTATATCAAAATTTTAAAATTTATTTAACCAGATTTGTTATTTATTAAGTTTATTATGTCATAAATCATATCACTATTAATATATAGTAATATATATATATATATATATATATATATATATATATATATATATATATATATATATATATATAATATAACCCCTCATCTCAATTATCACTCATCTGGAATTGATCGAGAATCAATCTGATAAAAATTTATTCTTATTCTGTAACATCCCTCTAAAAAAAAGTAATATTCTTCAATTTCTTCTAATCTTTTTAAAAAAAATTGTCTTAATTTATTAAAAAGCTTAGAAAATTTTAAGAATTTTTAATCTTGTACTTATAGAAAAGATGAGGGCTCCATCTAATCTTGTTCCAAATCACATTTTTTCATCATCACTCAAGTTTAGTCAAGTTGAATACTCTTTCACCAGGTTCTAAATGAGTTTCCCAAGTATAATAATGCTAAATGTTCCGCCCCTTTATTTTGTATAATTATTACCTTTAACACTATGGTGAGTGTAAGCCACAAAATTAATGTATATTATATAACTAATACTACTATCCCCTTTCTATTAAAGGAGAGAAAGAAAAAAGCACAAGGCATAGCTAATAGGGTTTGGAAGGAAGATGGACCCTACCAAATATCTAGCCTGTTTATACAAGGCCCTACCAATCTGAAAGACACATACTCATCATGGGGTATTGGATGGTGTTGGGTGAGATAGTTGCTTAAGCCAATATTCCATCTAAATTCTTTATGTCCCCATCAAAGGACCCAATATATTGTGGGTTTTTCCTTCTCATTTCCCATCATGCAATCTAGAAAAGGTTGACCCTTTGGTCCCACAAAGAGCTGCCCCATAAGCAATTGGACCTTATGTGAGGATATCACTTTCTTATAACTTTTTTTGTGTGTGTTTCATAGGATGAATTTGTGCACTTCAATTGTGCATGCTTCTCTGGGGTTAGGCTTGATTCCACTTACAACCCTTCACAACATGGAATACCACTCTGCCTAAATGGGTAGATCCCATTGCATAATGTTTCTCCTTTTCAAATTATAGGGTGTAAACGCTAAAAAATTCAATACCGTTCGTCAAATTTGCTATCTTCACAATCGTACCAACGTTTAGAGATAACGATTCTAGGTGGAAATTTTGATAACGATCTTTTATTATTAATATACGATGAAGTTGGCCATTTCAAAAGTATCATGTGATTTGCATGAAGATTTTTCAAATCTTGGTGAAGACAAAAGCAAATTAAAAGAAAAGTGTTTAGAATTGTAAAAACATACATGAATAATTTTAATTATATATTAGTTGAAATTATAAGTACATAAATATTTATGTAGAATATGAATTTAAAATGTGAAAAGGTAAGATAACAATCTAGTAGTGCGTTTGGTTTTTCTCTCATTAAACATGTTTATCCTCAATTAAACCTCAAGTCAAGGGTCCAAAATAATACAGAAGTTGTCTAATGAAACATATGAAAGCAACATCTATTAAGAGAAGTTAGCGACTAAGATAGGTTTAACACTTTCAAAGATTAATCATGAACTCTTAGAGGGACAACGTAACATGTTCAATACTTTCACAGTTTTTACTCTAAATATACATGAATGCATCGCAAATCTCACGTCTCCATCTTCTTTTAGTACCATCTTTCAAACATAAGTATATATCAATATATTGTTGTTAAATTCGATTATTTGAACTTAAGAAAAATATAGAAAGGGGGGTGTCCTTATAAATAATTAACACAATTTTTTAATAGAAAATAGTCTTTAACAAAGTAATAGATAAATCGATACTAAAAAGATATCATATTTTGAGAATAGGTAGCTATTTGGTTTCCTTTTTCTGCAGATTCTTTTGAATCAATTTTGACGCTGACTAGAATATGTTGAGAAAAGAGTACCCCACGATTGTTAAACAAAAATTATCATGGTCACATAAAAAAATGCTCCAACCTAGTGGAGATATACTCGGTTTTATAATGCTAAAAGTGCAATTATTTTGATGCTGCGCAATGATTCGTGACTAATGAAAGTTCAAGTGGTGTTTTTGAATAATTAACCCAACGATGGTTGGGTTAGTGATGAAGGAGGCGTGTGTCCTGTTTAGCCTTTACTATCATATTTATCCACATGCTAATTAGTGGAGATTATATATAGTACTTATAGTAATTTGTTGATTAAGCATTTTTTTGTCACTTTTCTTAGTATATATTTTGTGAGCTTTTTCCACACAAGCTCATATTTATGCGCAATCATACTTCTTTGTCTTAAATTGCACTTTTCATTTTATTTTTATCCCTCGTCACCTATCCATTATCTCCTCTCATATTCCTATTTTTTAATTAGCTTAGGCTTTACACTCTGCTTTATAGTAAATTCTTGTAAAAATCAAACTTAGAGGGATAGGAGAAAAATGATGGCTATTGATGCGAGTGAATTCGAAGGTTATAGAGTTAAATGTGTTTATGATGTGAATGAGGTACTAATACTGTTGAAAACTTGATATTGCATTCAATTGTAGTTTTTAATAAATCTATCGTTTTTAAATGTTTTTCTTAAGGATGACAATTGATGTGTCTCGGTTCCAAAATTGGTTTCAATTATTTTTGTCCTTTCTTACAATAAAAGAGTTCAGTTTTTAATTTTGAACTAGATTGATTTTTTATGGAAAATCAAAAAATAAAATACTGTTTTATTATTTATTAGTGTACACTCCAAGGATCGTACTAAAGGGGCCTGCAAAAATTACAACACATTCCAACTTGAACAGTTTTATTCTCAAGAGAAAGAAAGAAGAACATTAAAAACACAACAGAAAGTGTACTACAAAACTAACATAACAATACTCTTGGAAGATGAATACCAGAAACCTCAAAACAGTAAAATAAGGAAACATATAACAACTTGAAATTGACGATGAAATTACATGCAAACAAGAACTTCCATGCAATTGAAAGACACTGCCACCAATACTAGTTACCCAAACCAGCCCCAACTCCTCCTAATCCTCCACCAGCTACACCTCCTACACCACCTACACCTCCAACACCACCAGCACCACCTAAGCCACCACCAGCACCGCCTAAGCCTCCACCAGCACCACCACCTAAGCCTCCAACACCACCAGCACCACCTAAGCCCCCCACGCCACCACCACCACCTAAGCCCCCAACGCCACCAGCACCACCTAAGCCTCCAACGCCACCAGCACCACCTAAACCTCC